AACGTATGTAACCGTCTATGCTCGAACGGTTTTTGATAAAGTTATATACGGCACTTACTCATTATAATATCGCGCAACCTGTCCCCGCGATTGACATCGTTTCTCTATCTTTCCTTCTCTCGCGGAAATCGATTCGACATCGTTTAACCGTCTATCTATTACACGGAAATCGATACAATATTGAAACTTTGTGACCCAATCCGGAAGAATAAAAAATTGTGGGTTCCTTCATACGCTGGATCCAAGCCCGTGATAATAAATCGCCGAACAGGAAAAAAGGAAACTTTTTCGTTTCTCTAATTTTCCTTCTCTTCCGGAAATCGATTTGACATCGATTCACCGTCTCTCTGTCACACAGAAATTTAATATCGAAACTTTGTGACCCAATCCGGAAGGGTAGAAAATCGTGGATCCATTCATACGGTAGATCCTAGCCCCTGATAATAAATCATTGATTAAGAAAAAAGTATAGGGAACTTTTTCAACTAGCCTGCCTGCCATTTATCTTTGTTACTGGTCAGACGAGGTCCAACAGGCGCGTCCATCGGCGAGTGAACGCACGTCGCCCGATAAACTCTCTTCCGTCTTATCAAATCGCTTCCGTTTACGCGTCGTCTCCGTCGCGGACGTGCTCGTGAAAGGCCTCCGGGATTAAAGAGGAGAAATTACAACTCGGGAGGGCAGCCACGGAAAAGAGAGAAAAAGATAGTTGGAGAGAAGGGGAACGAGAGGGACGAGGGAAAAGGAACAGGGAATCAAGTTGAAACTCTTGGACGTAGTGATAGCCAAATCGAGAGACACGCGTGCGTATATATGTATATATACCGCTTGTTTTACACCGATCGTACGCCTCCTACGGTATGTCTGTGTCCTTTAGTGCCCCCCCGTGAATTGACAGCGGTAAATCCGTTCCGGCCTTTTTTAGTCACTGGTGGTTTTGTACCGGTGGTGCAGCCACGAATCCGTTTCCCTTCGATACTCGCGCCTTTTCGAGCTAGCAGACGAACGAACAACAATACTGTGATAAAAACAGAAATGTAATGATACACAATAACCAAAAAATCTTCGATGTCTGTACAATCTTGGAAGCGATCGGTTCTCTTGATAGTAGAGAAGGATAGGAACGGAAAACCTGTCGGGTAAAAGGATGAAGAAATAAGGAAAAAGGACTAGGAAATAGGGTAAAAAGTAGGAGGAAACAGGGGGAAAGGACGAAGTAATCAGAAAAAAGGACGAGGAAACAGGAAGAAATAACGAGGAATTAATCAAACAAGACTGGAAAATAGTGAAAAAGGAAGTTGGAAAAACAGAGAACAGGGAAGGAGAGGCGAGTCACCAACAGGAACGAATGGGAGCAACAGCGAGAGAGGGGAGTGAGGAAAAGAAAAAGAGACGGAGAATGGTCGCGTGGCCGTGCGTGGCCCCAAATAGGGCATCAGGTGGTTGCACGACGCCCGCGAGAGAAAAAGATCGTTCGCGCGTGCGCAGAGAGGCGTGCGCGCGTGTGCCTCTCGTAACCGGGCGCACGCACGCACGCACGCATATATGCCCACAGAATGGCACGCGCGCGCTCTTACAGGTGGTGACAACCGGGCACTGTATATACATACAGGAAATTGCTCCTTTGCCGAGTAAACCCGCGGACAGAACCGAGAGACCAGACCGTTCACCCGGATTATTTCGTCGGGGCCGATCGAACGGAGATTTCGCGAGGGATCGAGGCGCGAGTCTATCGAGAATAATCTCACCTGTTGCGCCTGGGCTGCGTCGTCCTTGTCCTCCGGTTTGGAATTAACCCCTTGCCTTGTGTGTTTTTTTGAAGATCGACGTCACTTTATTATTAATAATTTTCCGGATGCAAAATGAATCCCATGATCATTGCACATATAGAACGTAAAAATTAGGAAAATAGTATATTTCATTTCGAGTTTTAAACAATGGGTAGAATTTATGGTTATTAAATCTAGATGGAATTTATCAGGACAGGTCTGATACCTAATACTAGGAACGTGAAATATGATAACAATGATGAAACAAGCTTATTTCTTCTGTCAAACAAGCCCCGTTACGGGAGAGGTGAAAGTGTAAGTAGTATTGAACCGTCATACGTCAGGCAACCCTTAAACTGTATCTTTCCGCTCGTAGATCCGATCGATCGTCGTGTATCGGTTGGTCCACGCATGGAAATATAAATAGACGCTAATATATAATCGTTCCGTAACGTTGCTTGAAATGATATTATCCTGAAATCGTAACGAGAGGGACTAACGACGAAGTCCTCATCATCCCCTAGCCGAGCGCGCTTTCGATCGATAAGCGTCGTCGCGAGAGAGAAGGGACGCACACAGAGAGGCCGGTAGCCGCAAGTTCTCGAACGTTAACCGACGCCTGTCATTGCGAGGGACAAGTGGCGTCCGTTACGCCGGCGCCGTCGTTCGCGTCAGCAGCCCTCCGAGCTTTATACGCGTGGCAGGAAGAACCGAGGGAGGTCGCGGAGGGGGATGCCCTCTCGCATTCAGTGGATCACACGGTAGAGATCACGGTACTCGACGGAGAACGACCTCTAGGAGAACTTTTGCTCCCTGTATAACACATACAACGCCAGAAGCAACAAATTTTGCGATACATACAGTGACTCACAAGTTTCGTCATGAAAGGCTGTCATTTCTGACCAAATTATTTACCAACGTGAGAATCTTTATTTCAAAATTAAGAAAAATTTATTAGAATGGGATGTTGAAAGTTGTAACATGGAGAATATAAAAATAGAAATTGCGTGAATGTTTTTTGACACCCAATTGTTATTTCAGAGGTCTCTGAACGAATGTGTGAGTCACCGTAAGACAGTATCGATTAATCCTCTTATTCTCCAAAAGCTTCTGATACAAACAGTGACGAAAGTATCATACCTCCTGTACATTCTTTCCGTAAAACAAAACACACTTTACAATGAAGTACAAAACATAGTGTAAAGTTCGCCAAACAAAACAACACCTAATGCAACGAAGAAACGGAACGGCAAAAGCGTTACTAGAATCTCACAATCTAGCAGAGAATATCATCGGATAATAGTGAACATTTTTTGGCTACTGGCCACTCTGGGTGCTTTCAAACTCGCCACGCACAGAGAAGGGGGAGAGAACGTTCGCGCTCGCTAGCTCGCGCGCGTTTCGTTTCTACGTCACACGCGAGGTCTACGTCACTGGAGAACCGAGCAGCAGCGTTTTCGTTGAGGCGGAGGGGGAGGGATGGAGCTGACGACCGGTGTGGTGGGGGTCGAGGAGGGACGGTAGGGGAAGATAGGAGCGCGCGATCGGTGGACTGGTGGGGGGGAGGGGAGCGCAGAGTGATGCCAACGGAGCAGGGGCTCCGCGAGGAGGGCGATCGGGGCGGTGGTGGCGGGCGTGGTGGGGGAACGGTCCGAGTGCGGCGCGTGTGTACGTCCTATATAGACGCGTCGCCGCGGCTATATGCTCGCGTCCCTTACACACAGGCGCGCGGTTGATAGGGGACCCGCAGAGCGGGGATTGGCTGGCGGTCGGCTCGCCGCTTCCAAATATGGGACAGTCTCCGCGGTCCATTCATAAAACTACGGGGCGCGCCGTCGCTCGGCTCAGTTCGTGCGCGACCCCCACGCATCGCGCGTCCTCTGACGATCCGTGTTTCCTCTCTCGGACCACACCACGCACACACGTACACGTATACACGTACACCGAAGAGGTGTGCATACCTCTCCGACTACCACGACGACGACAACGCCACGGTTAACCTGACGTGGAGGAGATAACGCGGAACAGAAAGAGAGAAAGAGAGAGAGAGAGAGAGAGAGAGAGAGAGAGAGATTGTGAAGAAGAGAGGGGGAGGGAAGGAAAAGGAGAAGAGATAGAAAAGGACGGAGGACAACGGAACGACAAATAGGCGCGCGGTCGCGCGCGCGCCTTCACCTACGCGACACCAACACACAGATACGCGCTACAGGACTCGCGAGTGTGAAAGAGGCGCGAGATATCTCTGTGGAGTTTTCGTAAACCTCGAAATCACACTGGACGGACTTCTGTGTGTGATACATTGATACAGGAGGGTGAACAATCGGTACCGAAGAAGAGATATTCACGGTTCCAACCCCTTTTCGCGGTGATTGTTTTCGTTATCGTAAAAACGCGTTGCCAGTTAATCCCTTGGCGACACGATTAAAGATAAACGAACACTGTTGACCGGTCGGACAGACGGTTCCGTGACGTGGGATCGATCGATCGTGATCCGGTGAGATTGGATTTTTCTCTGTCACGGACAGTTTGCTGTTGGTGGTGGTGGTGGTGGTGGTGGTGGTAGTGGTTTTTGTGTTGCCTGGTGGTGGTTGTACTCGCCGGTGGTGTATTATCCAAGAGTGCTCTGTCTCTCACGCGCGCGCACGTTCTTTCGCGTAACAGAGAGGGGGATATCGAGGGGAGAGACAGAGAGGGAAAGAAAAGGAAGGACGGAGGCGAGAGCGATCGAGACACGGTTTTTGCCGCCCGGCGTTCCGCTCCCTCGTGTCTACCTCTCGGCTGAAAGAGAGACTCGGCGCGTGCCGCCGCGCGCGGCGACGGATAAAAACGGGGGAGAGCGCGTGCTACGAACCGCTTGACTACTAACCCAGTGACTGTGGTAGCTGCTAGAGGGAAGAAAGGGAAGGACAGAAAACACGGGGTACCGATTCTCGACAAACTTTACTTGTCCGCGATCTCTTGTGTGCTCTCCGAATATATCGCGTACTATCCACTATTTACGCGGTATCGTTGCACGGTGAAATAAAGGGGTGCTAATAAAGAGGAAACCGCGACGAAATCGACCAGTGGGAGAAAAGAAAAGGCTACCCCCCCCCCCCTCCCCCCCCGGTTACCAAGCTTGTTGCATATTACTGGTGGCAGAGCAAGGCGAACGAGGCTTAACTGTGTCGGGGCGACCGAGGAAGGACAGCATTTTAACCATAATAATAGCGTTGAACGATACGACCGCAGGCGAGGACACGCAGTGCGGCACAGAGGAGGTTCCCACCGCCACCACTGGACAGGGAGGCGATCAGCTACAGAGGATGACGATGGACGGTATGGAAGTGGTGGGCTCGCAGCCCCACGCGGCCACCAGCCCGTTTCTGCTGTCGTCGCCGCCCCTCGGGCATCATCATCACCATCACCATCATCATCCCACCTTCAATCTCCAAACGGTGCAATTGAGCTTCGACGCGTGTCTACCGTACAATACAGCGACATCCTCGAACTCGTCGATCGTGTGCGGCGGCGGCGGGGTCGCCGGCGGCGGAACGTCGACACCGGCGCCAACGACTTGCGCCTCGTCGTCGTCGTCATCGTCGACCGGCTGCAACAACAAAACGATACCCACGCTATCGTTGGCCACCTGTGTACCATTGCACGCGCAACAACACCAAAACAACACCGAAACAGCTGACCACCATGTCCGACACCATCATAATCATCATCATCATCAGCAGCATCATCATCATCAGCAAGCCCATCATCAGAGGCTCGACGATCATCAACACCATCGACACATCGACGCATCGTCACCGTCCAGCGATACAACCGAGGGCAAACGACGATTGCAGTCGGTCGTCAACGAGGAGAAGGACTGCTCGAGGGACTGCAGGGACGATCTTCAGGAACCGAACGAGAAGGATAAGCCAGGTGACCTAAACACGCCGGTTACCACCAGCAGCGATTTACCGTCCTTCTTCGGCCCCTCCGCGCTCGTCGAGCCACCTCCTATTTCAGGTACCTACACACACAATCTGCAGCCCTATAACAATCGTTCTTCGATTCGACGATCCCCATTTTTCGACAAGTCCCCTTACGCTCGTGTCGTCTACTACGATCTACATCCCCTCGTACAACACGTCAATATGTATACAAGATGGTTCACCAGGTATTACCACTTCGATTTACCTGACTGCTATTGCTCGTAGGGAAAAATGACTTCACGACGTGAACCATTTTTCCCTTCGAATAATAACAGTCACCTACATCGAAATGATAATATCTAAAGAATCACTCTGTACATGTATATATACAGTTTACAATAAGAATCGTCCAAATGCTCAGGTAATCCGATCGTCCCAGGTATTTATATAAACGTCTTTTAGTCTTGCGCGCGCGCCACAGAATGTATATCATCGGCCGTTTCGTGCTCCCCGATCGACCTTGCACTTGCTCTCTCGCCGCATTTCGCCAACGCGCGTTTGACTTTCGCTTTCCGCAAATATATCCGGCGAACTCTTGCCCGTTGCTGTTACCCTCGTGGCTGCGCGTTGCACCCCTCCGAAAAGCCGGCTTTCCCGCTGTCGATTTCAACGGAACTAGCGACGCTGCTGAGGAGAGAGGGATGGTAGAGCAATCGACGCGAGCAGAGGTGTGCACGAGGTGCTGCCGGTGACGTATATTCGGTTGGCTCGCGAAAAAACGGCTAATATCGAACCTGCTGCCCGTCTGTCGCGGATCAATACTCGGCGACCCCGACATTCAGAAACCCTCCTCTTACTCCACTTCCTCCCTGCATCACCCCTCCAACACCTTCAACCATCCTCCCACCCATCCCCTAGCCGGTTCATTCATACTCCCAGCTTGCCCCCACCCTCGTTCATCCGGGAGTACCACAACCACCCTCCGTGTCACGCCGGCAGTCGTCGTATTTGCCACGGCGGGAGTCTGCCTCGCGATATCTACCGGCCATATTCTTTAATCGTCGAGGACGCATCGTGGTTATTGTTCTCAACCCCACTCGATTTGTCCTTCAGCCGGACAACAGTTCGTTACGAGTCTTGAGTTGATTGGGGGATGGAAAGGTTGTCGCCCGCGCGACGTCATCAACGACGATAGAACGTGAGACACGCGTAGTCTATTATAGTTGGTTTAATTCGAAGTTTCGAAAACAACCGGATGATCGCGAGTTTTTCTAGCATCTGGGAGTCCGACGACTTGTTTTTCGGTAGGGAACTCGACAGAACACGATTGCCGCGCGAACATAGAGGAAGGAAGTACAACGAGACGACAGGATGCAGACGACAGATAGAGAGCGAGCCCAGTTATTGCTTGCTCGCGTCGCACAACCAGATAAAGTCACCCCCGTATCGCACGGTCTCCTTCCTGTCGATTTCGCTTTTCTCGTTCCCCGAATGCGTGTTCATAATAATTCGAACAATCGTGTGTGCTTTTGCGGGCGCGGTGACTGATGGTGGTTTTTCGATGAATGATTTACAGGCAGCCTGGCGGGCGAGGATCTGTCCCTGGAGGATGCGACCGCGGAGGACGATGAGACGGTGGGATCGACCGGCAGGGATCACCAGCAGCAACAACGTCACCATCATCACCAAGAGTCACAGGACACAGGAACGCCTGGCGCGCCTCCGTCGGTTAGTCCACCGCGTCATCATCAGCCCCAAGAAGACGCGGATCGTTGCAACGTGCTCCAAGGGGGCGTGATCCTATACTCGTCCCCTCATTCCGCGTCCTCGGTGTCTTCTGCGCCCTCGACCACCGTCAACATCTGTAACGTGCCTACCTTGACCTACCGGGGTGTATTCACCACCACCTGCACGCAATCTACCACCCTGAACACTCTGCAAACCCAGCAGCAACAGGCCCAACAGCAGCAGCAACAACAGCCCACCAGCCAAGAGCTTTGGGGTCCGTTACCCTCGCCGACGTTGACCTTGACGGGTCAACCGTTCCTTCACCCAACCCTGCACACCGGCCCGTACACAGGCGAGACCGTCGAACTGCTCCAGGTCGAATCGAAACCACCCCCGCCGCCAGGTTACCACGACACCCCAACCACCACTCCTGCCGGTTGGCTGACCGCGCACGAGGACGCCTACGATCCGAATCTTCTGTCCCACCATCACCCTCATCACCATCACCAGGAGACCACGTTGAAGCAAGAACCAAGCGGAACGTATGGCCCAGCTGTTCAACAGCAGCAACAACAACAACAACAACCTCAACCGAGCCAACAACAACAACAACAACAACAACCTCCACCGTCCGCCGGTACGACGGGGGTGCAGCTCGCCGAGTACAACCCCAGCACGTCCAAAGGTCACGAGATTCTCTCGCAGGTTTACCAACAGAGCGCTCTACCGCTCAGGCTGGTCCCCGTCAAACCTCGGAAGTATCCGAACCGACCGAGCAAAACTCCGGTACACGAGCGACCGTACGCCTGTCCCGTCGACGGCTGTGACCGCAGGTTCTCACGTAGCGACGAGCTCACCCGGCACATACGCATCCACACCGGCCAGAAACCGTTTCAGTGTCGAATCTGCATGCGTTCGTTCTCCAGGAGCGATCATCTGACCACCCACGTGAGAACCCACACCGGCGAGAAACCATTTTGTTGCGATCAATGCGGTCGGAAGTTCGCCAGGAGCGACGAGAAGAAACGTCACGCGAAGGTCCATCTGAAGCAAAGGTTGAAACGCGAGGCTACCCATGCGTCAGCTAGGAATCATCCCCAGAGTCATGCATCGCCACCCTGTAATCAGTAAAATAAATGGCGAATTGTTCTTGGGAAAGAACCATCGCAACCCTCTGTTCTCTTGATCAGAGGGGGAGGAACGTTGATTTAGGTGTCGATCCACACCATCATCAACCGCGCATTCCTCTTCGACCTTGCCAAAATCGTGCTAATTCACGGCGCAGCTTCTCAACCCTCGCCGGCGGACGAGGAAACGACGGAGACCTTTTGGCGGAACATACGATATATTATATATATATGTATACTGCCCGTCACCGACTGATCCGTCGTCGATCGTCGTCGGCTCGCCATCGCGATCGACGAGTAGCGCGGCTGACGCGAGGATCGGAACATCTATCCAACAAATCTACCATCGAGAGTCCACTTTGCGTGGGGCATTACCGACGGTGTTAAAAAAAAAAAAAAAAAACGACGCGTGATATACCGAGAAGTACCTACTCTCGGTACCAGTAGTACGTAAGAGATCGTCCCTCGGAGGATCTTCGTGGAATATATCCTTGTAAATATATATATATATATATATATATAAATATCGTTGATACTTTTTATTTTTTATCGAAATTCGAACGGGACGCGCGGTGGAATGACGCGATCGATCCGATCAGCGAACACGAAATTGCGGTTATATTTGTGTGGGTTTGAATGTCCCAATTACTACCAGTGTCCCTAATACTGCCATTTTATTTATTTTACTTGTAGTGTACAAATTTTCCTGCAATCTATATTTATGTATTCTTATGATTTTTTGAATTTTCAAACAAGGTACCTAGTTTGGTACATAATCTAGTGAAATAAATGTGTCTGCCTTTCGTGGACAAATTTACGAGTCACTGTATACAGAATTGCGTACAAAAAATTTGATTACTAAATTGGTACTATGATTTATATAAAAACAAAGAAATATGTGTACTTGTACGTACCTGGTATTTAAAAATTAACGTTGAAACACAAAAGTACAATTTGAGGGCTCGAAAACGCGACTACGTGAGTAGGAAGTGATAGAAAAGTTAATGTAGTTTTACTATTCAACCTACATATATCTATTGTACAAATAAATTGTTAAAATTGTAGAAGAATTACTTCAACTTTCGAGGTAACAGTTATCAGGGACACTGGAATTGCTCGAAGACTTGAATTAATTATTAATCAATTCTTCGTATTTAATGTATCAAACTACTTTTGTTAAAATGAAAGCGATGTTTAAATAATATTATATTTCGAGCTCGATATTTAGGTGGCAGTAATTGGGACATCCACCTTATATCGAATATACATCGACGTATATCGAATGCATCCAAAGTAGGAGTTCGCGCGTTTTCCTTTACTTTCGTTCTAGGTGCTACGGTTGTTGTTCTTCCCCTCGTCTTTCGCCCCGCGGTGATCCTACGATCGCGGCGGCAGTTGCATTTAGAGACTCGAGACGAAAATTCCTAGGTTTCGTCGCTCGTGTATGTATGTGTATACACGCCTGTTAAGTCGTTTCCTCGACGATGCTTTGGTATATCGGTCCTCGAGCGTGTTTCACAGTGTGATAGAGTGAATGAGAGTCCGTTCGATACGGGCAGCAACCCGTTGGGGATCGTTATTTACGGGCGGTCGCGTTTTATGCCCTTGTTTGCGATCGAGGATGCAGATGCGAGAATTCCCGCGCGTAGTAGATACGTGCCTACTACGAAATATTCCGGTGTCGCGAGATTACCGCAACCGTCGCGATCTCGAGAGTTGAACGACGTTGAATCGATACCGCCCGCAGCTTCCGGGAATCAGGGTGGAATTCATCGAAGGGAAACAGAGTATGCGAGAGATAGAGAGAGAAAAGGCGTGCCTTCGATCGCATGCAAACGAGCGGCGTGAAAAAGAAACGAAACGAAAAAATCTGTATGCGCTTCTTGAAACGATCTCGAGGATCGCGCCGTATACTTGGCTAGGGTTTCTCGCGGAACTCGAAAACCGGCCAGCTTTGTTCCCGAATGAAGTTAAAATCCGTGAACGAATAAAATTCCCGTGCTTTCCTCGTCCGATTCAACGAACAACAAATTACCCCGAAAAGTATTTTCTATGTATTTTTATACGCGTGCCGAATGAATATTACTCGTCGACGGTCCATCGAGAAATCGATCGGAGAACGGAGGATCGACCGTCGACGGAGATGGAACGAAGAAACGCGCGGGGCACGATCTCGTCGCGAGACAAATCACACGTACACACACGAGCAAACTCCTAGGAGAAAAAGTGACGTAGGATAAGAACCTCCTAACACTTGGTAAATTTATCTCGAGTATTGAAATAAATGTTAAAAGTTATTTGGCATAAATCTCAGAAACTTCCGAATTCAAATGGTAGAAAGCCTTTTCTCTACGCCACTTTTTTCCCTAGCGGTAGAGTTGGGCAGAATTTTATTCGATTAATACACGGTGAAAAGCAGCAGTATCTAAGAGTGTCGTTCCGAGCTTTAAACAGTCAGTGAGATTAAATAATTGTTCGACAAATGTCGATTCATTCGTAAGAAAGTATTATTTTATCATAAAAATTGGAATTTTCACGTATAAACCATTCAAAATGACGAAATACATTTTGTTTATCTTTTATTCGTTATTCGAAACTTTTTATCTAGATAATTTGTTTGCCCATCTCTGCCTAGCGGAAGCCGAGTTTGCTCGTGGGTGTACACACACCCTTTTTGCGTCCTCGAACCTCGTGTCTTTCAATCATACGATCGAACAATCGCTTAGTATCGTTCTCTACCTCTCGAACGCCACACGTCCGCTCGTGTCTCGTTCCTAGTTCGACGAAAAATAAAAATAAAAAAAATCACGCGCGTTCCCTCTTCGTGCCCCGGACACGCTAAAATCTCGGAGTTTTCCCGCGTTTTTTCGATATTTAGCTTACCTCGACCCATTCCTTCCTCGTGTTCCTTCTCAACGAAACACATTGTCCCTTCGAAAGTTCTCATTCGAGCTCTCGAGCAACGTCGATTCCGTCGCGATTCCCGTTCGAGAATTATCCTCTCTGTTTGATCATCGCCATTGAAAACTCAGCCAGTGTATCTTAATTAGTCGCGATAATCGTTCGCTGAACCCGGGAATTTATTCCTCTGTAAATATGTATATATATATACATATACAATGTGTTATATATATTATGTATACCTACATAGGGTTACGTGTCTAATCGAACGAGCAGAGACAGCGAAGAATTTAGAGAGATAGAGTGAGAAAGAGAGAGAAAGAAAGAGAGAACCCGTTAAAATCTTTCACTTTCCTCCTTTTAATCTTGCCGCCCTACTTTCCCCTCCTTTCCTCTCGGTTCTCTCCCCCCCCCCC